TTGTAATAAACCTCGTGTATATAATAGTTCGTTATCGTCCAAAACTGACTCCAGTCTAACAAGCAGTAATAAGCATTACTTAAAGAGCTCATTATGGTGGCTCTTAAATTAAAGAATACATGGTAGTAGCAAGTGACCTTATTGCAACGCATGAAAATAAAAAGGCTCGGTAAGCTGGGGGCAGTGGCAAGGACTGTAGATTAAATAGCTTGTGGAAGCCACATCATGACAAGTGGATTTACAATGCTGAGTAAATCATGGCTGAGGGCCTAAGATGCGAAGTTGGGAGAAAGGCATGATGGAGTCTGCATTCAATTCGCCCTAAATAAGTATGCAGAGTTGGAGTTATAGCCTAAAGGGAATGTGTTACAAAATGAAATACGAGGAGTCGATTTAAGAAAAAGAGAACTGTTCCAGTGCAGTTCCAAAATATGAAATATGAAGTGGATAAACGTGAAATTGGATCATTTAGCTGTCAGTTATACAGTAAGATGCCTAAAAATGGATAGATGGTGACTCTGCTGAGCGACTTACTCGCTCTTGCACCTCCAAGTCTGCCGAGTGTACGAAGAGAGTTATCTTGTCAATGAGAAGATTTGTCAACTCGAGCACACGGGCAGTAGTCTCATCCAACCGACAACTGACAAGATGTTCGGTACTTAGATCAGAATTAAGGTCTGCTGGCTTTGAGATAATGTCATGCGTAGATACGTGCTGGACAGTTATATCAGTCGTCTTATCAGCGGATGCCATTGTATCTAAAATATGCGGTTTCAAAGCGTTGGCGGTAATGCAGCCTGAAGGACTATTCAATATTATAGGAGATTGGGTTGGAGATTTGTTGAGGGAACGACTTGGCTCATCGCTCAGAGCAATATTATTTATGTGGGCACTTTTGCTGCCGGCACTACAGTCTCCACTATCACTGGTGGCAGAGAGTACAATTGGATTTTGCCCAATGACGTCGGAAAAGTTGACATCCTTGGCCAATTGATTTACGAGGTTGCAGTAGAGCTTCAAGACATTTAGCAATAAAACAGATTGAATATGACCCGGGAGACTGTTTAGTCCAGCCGCAGATAACATATCCTCCAAAGTCTGTCTAGGCGTACGGAGTAGGCTTTTAGGAAAAAAAGGAAGGAGGTATACAGTAAAAGACAGATCGAAAGCTTTTAACTGGTGAAGGTAGAGGCTTAAATTGAAAAATAGTCAATCAAACGACTAGGTGAAAAATAAGGTACCAGTCAACTAAACAAATTATAAGTTGATCTTAATTCAAAATAAGTTAAGAAAGAAAAATTAGAGAAAAACAGAGCACTAAGTTTGTCGTTTAAAAGTGATATAGTCTAGTGTTATAGTAAATAACATTTTGCTTCATCGACAATCTCAGCACAGGATGTGATATCGAAAAATGCTCGGCCTTCCTTAAAATTCACATCCGCTCTGCTATCAAAGGGCACTTGTGACGGTGTGATGTAGTGATTAACGTGTCGAGATTACACACTGAGCTACCACAGTTCGAGTCCTTCTGGGGGTGCTGATGAAACCTAAGCAAGGTCGATGAGAATGCCCTTTGGGAGGCAAGTCTATGCGAGCCTCAATAGAAACGTAAGGTTTACCCATATTGTTGTGGGAAAAGTCAACTTTTAGTCCTTCATCCCCTTAACAAAATAGGGCGAATATATCTCATAAAGCAAGATATGCACCAATGAGAGCTATTCAGCTTCTCCCTGGTGTGCAAAATAATGGATGAATAAGGATAAAAATACAAAATAAAATGGATAATCTAATAGTTACTTCGTGTTTATCTTACATGCTCGAGGATTGGTGAAGAGAATGCGGACATTGCCACAGCTATTTCCATGCCTTAATAAACAGGCGTTAAATCCTTCAATGTTGACACAAGGTTAGGCCTATGTCTGCGCACATATTGCGTACATACAATAATCAACTTATGCAAAGCGTGAAGGCCCTAATCAGATTTGAGACTATTTAAGTATCCTTCTCTTTCTCGGGGGTTCTTTCTACTTCAAGTCCATAAGCCTATAGTTTCCATTCATATTCATACGGTCGATCCTAATATTCAGAATATTGGCTTTATCGTTTGTTTCAAAGGACTTCTCAGGCTTAAGACAAGATATGACGGTGTAAGTTTACCTTTACACTGTTCTGATGCTCCATTTCCTCAGTAGTTCACCCATTCTTTCCGAAAGTTGACAATAGGCAATATAAGGACCAGAATAGGGTGGACTGTCTGTCCTGTCCTAAATAGTTATTGTTGAAGAGACTTTAATTTTGTATGAAAGTGCATAAAGAAGACAATCGTATACATATCTAACCAGAAAACGACGGCTGATTATCGTAGTGCAGCCTTTTGGCTTTAAAACCAGATTTTAATTGACACAGCCGGCGAGACGCCCTACCACTTTCGTCCATCACATAATGGATATCATCGGAGCTGGAACTCAATCTTGTAAAAGTCTCACGTTAACACTAGATTAAGACATTTTTTGATGCGAAAAGAAATTTAGGAAACCCGCATTTGTGGGCTTCCTATACATATTCCTTCCCCATTTGTTACCATCTTTAATAATTAGGACATTTAAAAAGGGTATGTAACTATCCTTTTTTAACTCCACAGTGAATTCAACCGTCCTATCTAATCAATTTATTAATATAAATAAACTTACCAAACTCTCTTTTATATTCTGTCAGATAGCAAAGTAATCATCCATATACCTGACTAATAGTTTCGGAGCTAGGAGTGCTTCTCGAAAAAGCCGGATTTCAAACTGAGCCGTATAATTATTTGTTAAAGCTCACGGCTAAACATCTATCTTGCTCATATATTTTACAATTAAATGTAAAATATGTGCCATTCATTACAAAGTCCGTCAATCTATTAATTTAATTCTTGCTTATCTTATTTCCTGATACAATCTCAGGGTGTTGGCCTGAAGTATACTATGTAAGTACACTAATATACCGGTAAGTGGGGCCAAACATACTTTAGGATTTGCCGTAGATCAACACCCAGAGGTTAAACCAAGAGATAAGATAAGCTAGGTTGAAGCTGTAGGTATAAGATTAGTTCATTAATAAAAAAATTTGTCAATTTCCTTTCAATATATTTTTACTTTGCGCGATTTCGTTTGTATGCGCACGTATATATGAGGCAAATGATGGAATGAAACATCGACTAAAATATTCCTAAAGCAATTCATTCCAACTCCTGGACATTATATTAAATTTATTAAAGGCGCTTTGTAGGCATTATAATTTTTACGGTCGTCTTAAATTACCGCGCGTGCGGATGACTTTACGTTGAACCTAGTTGATGCTACTGAAGCAGGGAGGTCAAAACTGTGATCCAATCGGGATGATAAAGCCTTTTATGAGGCAAATATATAGAAAATTCAATTGCATTGCAAGGCCATCTACTGATTTCATTGTAGAAAATTTAATTATATCAACTTAAGCGAATTAGGGTAACTTATATATTTATGCAAGATTCTAGAGGGATATTCACTTATAATATATACAACTGGGATTCAGATCAGACAATTTGTAAGTTATATGCCTTTAAATAAAATTAATGGCAGTAAAATTCTGAAGAAAAGCCTTAAAATGCAGCTAAAACTAATCACATTCTACCCTTTTAAAATAATGTAAAACCAAGAAATTATTCAAAATTTAAGCCAATATAACCCCTAAATTAGTAGACAATCCAGCTTAAACTAAATACGAGCCAAACAAACCGACATTTTGAATTAAATCTAAAATATATATAATTGTATACAATAGACTGACAA